ATGTGGAGAAAATCAATAGGAAAGCATATTCAAGGAAAGCACCTTGTTGTAAAAAAACTTTAAAGTAAAATATAAAATAGAGCTCTTTTTCTGTCTTTCTTTTATGAAAAGCTGACTGATTGTTGTTTTGCAGAATAGTGGTTTATGATTGAAAAGATTGTCTGTACATACACAATGATAGGAAGGTTTGATTATAAAAGATTTTTGACAGAGGCAGTTGGACCTTTTGATTATTTTCTTGCTGTAAGCCTGATAAACAATTTCATTATGCTATCTTGGCTGTATTACTCTTGGTCACTATCAACCTTTAAAAGGGCTATTTAGTTACAGTGAAGGCTAGATTCATTATTAGTGAGCCATAGCCTTCATCAAACCAGAGACGGTGTTAATTGCACTATCCATTTCTTTGGTGATTAAAAGGTAAATAAATCTAGGGTTGAATTAAAGCATTTTAACAATAGGTTAAGCTTATTTATCTTCTGCTTTAGACTTTTTTCCTTTCACTAGTCCCATGTTGTTTGAACATCAGAGATACTTTCTCATAAGCGTTGACTCTCTTTATATGCTAACAGAGCATGAAAGGCTGTATTTCTGACTAGCATAATATTTAGAGGTGAATGGTGTTGAATAAGGGAAGTGCAGAGCTGGTTTTGAAGTGGCATTTCTCCTTCTGTCTTTGCAGTGGTTGGTATTGGAAAAGGAACAAAAATGTTGGGAACTATGTTGGCAGGTTCCAAGGTAAGGAATACTAATGACTTGTACTAGTGGGGTTTTTTGGTTGTTTTCTTTTTTCTTCCAGTGAAGAGCTGCATCAACATACAAGTATCTCAACTGTCCTCTGTATTTTGTTTAAATGTGTACTTCAGTTCCTTTTTGTATTTAGTCAGAAATACAGTTTTAACACTTTTACTTCCAGAATGGTTATTTTAAAAACTTTGTTTGTCTTGGTTTTTCTGCAAAATGTTAATAAAGACCAATTTCCTATTTTAAAGGAAGATTTCTATACTATTTAGTGTTTTCAACAACGAAAAAAAAAACAAAGAGAAAAACTGTAATGAAGATGGCACTATATGTTTTTGGGATGTAATTGTGTATGACAGTTCAGTTTTTGGTCATTTTCCTTATGTGTAGATAACACGATTGTTACTTAGCTTGCAGTAACAGATGGTCTTTGTTTCTTTTCTTAAATACCATGAGGCCTTAAGAGGCACCTTTTGGAATTAAGAGTGTTTTGCGTTTGTGACAGTAGCTAGCATTCCAGATTGCAGCTCCTGTGGACAGGTGCTCTACAAACACGTGGATAGGCACGTATAAGAAGCCAAAGGTAACTAGAGCCCTGTGGCTGCATGAGATAATCCAGACTGGAGCCTTGACAGGTAGCAGTCTTGTTCGTTGCTGCTTTTGATTAGTTATACTATGTCTTTGGTGAGTGTACTCCAGATTGTAGGTGTTACATACACAAACAAGGGCATGTACTCCCAAGAATAATCTACCAGTGTTGATTCCTTCTTTGCAAGTAAAATTCTGTGGGTTTAGCCATTGTTTTTAAATGAGAAGTTTAGGTAAGAATGACAGATGCAGAAATCAATTAAGCCTTCCAGATTTCATCTTACACTCAGGGAAAGTCAATAGTGGGCTCAGCAAATTGATAGCCTTTCTAATGCATTTTATTCTGCTATTTTTCTCATTCTCTTCGGGTCTGAACACTTAAGCTCTTTACAGGTGGTGAATTGGTAACTTGAGGGAGAATTTGATTGACAATCTTCAGTTCAACTCAAAGGAAAAAAATTTGACAGATGAGAGTACAAGCAGGGTAAAAAGACATAGCTGTAGAGTATGATCCAAAACTTGCTGTAGTCAGTGTCAGTCTCTGCACTGGCTGCGAAGGGTTTATATTTGGTTTATAGGACCAGATTTCAGAGGCATCTGCATTTTGAAACATGCAGTAAGCAGCTGGAGCTGGATTTACAGTGCAAGTGTAAGAAGTTACCAAGAACTTTTAAGTTAAAAAATGGCATTGAGATACTTCAGCTAAACTAAGTCATTATAGAGAAATGTGTGAAAACTGTTGATTTAAAAAAACAGTGGAAACAGCTGTGGTGGATGAAGTAGTTTCAACCTTTCTGGCAGAAGAGAGTATGCGCAAGCTCCTTGGCAACTTCACTGTGAAGTCCCGTGGCCAGTAGGAGTGTTATGTAGCCAAATGTGCCCAAATAGCTCAAGAAGCCTTATAGCTGCTGCTGAGGGACAAGGGAGGGGAACAGAGGAGAAATGGGCAGTGGGGGCAGTCCGGTAAGCTACCCCAGCTAGATCCATCAGCTCTCACCTGGCCTTAGATTGGTGTAGGCTGTGGGCATGATTCTATAAGGCAAGCCAGTTACATCCCTGCAGCAGATCAGCAATTCCACTGCAACTGTTTGTGTGTTCTGATGTGGTGGGGAGTGTGAGGTCGCTGACATCCATGCCAGGTGGCATGGCGGTCATGAGCCTTCATTTGCAGCTTGTCTCTGCTTTCCTATTTCTATTTGTACTTCAGTAAATTCAGCACGCCATAACTTGAGAAGCTTAAGGAAGTTGAAGGAGCTCCCACACATAGCTGCCTATTTGGTTTTTTGACCACACTGATAACAAAGGCTCATAATATAGTGAGAGATCTGATACAGATAAAGCAATGACTGTCTAAATAGGTTTCAGTATTTTTTTGCATCCCATGCCATGTGCATGTTTCATCTTTTTTTATCATTGTGGATGCTAAAGTTTTTGTTGAAGTGTGACGTTTTCCTTTTGTTCCTTTTATTACTATAAAGATTCAGCTGAACTGTCCGAGCCTCCTTGGTTAGGATTTACTATTTGATTGCAGGAATATATCTTGTAAAGAGAGTTCAGTCTATCATTGTTGGCAGCAGAGCTATGCTGAGTGGCCAAAACATATGTTACTGCAGTAAACTCCATATGGTGGCTCTGCCAGAGATTGGACTATTTCTGTTTTTTTCCCAAACGTTGTGTGAAACTTTCCTGACTCTGTGTGGCAGCTCTGAACATTATCACTCCATTTGCAACTCATACACATTACACAAGGAGTGTTACTCTTTCAGTGTAAATCTAGTTCTCCATGGGTTTGACCTCCTTATGAATTAACTGAAAACAAATCGAAATGTGCAGCCAAGGGCAATACCTACTTAGTGTTCCAGATTTCTCATTGAATTCTTAATATTTATCCAGAAATAAAAATATGTGCAAGCTGGCTTAGGTTTCGTTTGTTTGTTTGTTTTATTTTGTTTCAAATGTTCCAAGTGAGGAGAGAAGCTGGATCCTCTTTGATCTGGAATTTAAACACTGAGCATTTAATAAATGTTCCATAGGAGAATAACTTTTCCTTCTTGTGTTCTGGGATTTGGACTTGGTCTTGCTTGGACTTTTTGCACTGCATTATTTTGAGAGAAATTATTTTGTCATATTTGCAAAATGAAGGTAGTGGAATGAGAAAACAGTATTTCCTGCTTCACCAGGAAAATGAATATGATGGGAGTGGACCGATTTTTATTATGGTAAATTGTTTCTGAAGGACTCAGTCTTATGGGTGACTAGCCTGTCTCAAACACAATGTAGAAGTGTTTTTTTTTTTTTTTTTATGAGGGAAATGGGTTAGCAAATGCTAGCTAGCAGCACAGTTTCCAATCCTCATCTACCATAACGTGCTGTTACATAGAAGCAATGAGGGAGATGATCAGGGACTAGTCAGAGAAGAAAAAAAGGGAAGAGCACTAAGCAGTGAAATTCTTCATTATTCAAATACTTTCCGTTGGGAGGAGATGTCTTCCAACACATACAGCCTTTATTTTTAGGTGGGATAAAACAGGATAACTGAAATTTTCAGACTTCAGTTCCATGTTTAATTTGCATATTTTTTAGTGAGATAACATCTGGGTTCGTCCTAAGAGAATTTGAGTCATACTAGTGTGAATGAAGCCAGAACTTGGCCATCCATCAAAACTGTGCTTGAAATCACTGCCTCTCGATGAGCAGAAAGCATGGGCGTATTGTTTTTATCTCAGGATGCAACTTCTTGTCATTGTCCACATATAATCTGAAACCCCAAGTGCTCAGTGATGTGAGGGGAATTGCCTGAGTACTTTGCACTGGTTGCACAAGCTTGGCCAGGGACTAGTTAAAATAGAAAGTTTAATACCAAAAGTTGTGGCTTCTCTACAATGAAACACTTTAAAAAAAAAAAAAAAAAAAAAAAAAAAAAAAAAAAAACAAAAAAAAACAAAAAAACCAAAAAAACCACCAAACCAAAATCACTGGATAGAGTAAAACCCATACTCCAAATAATCATAAGCACTAGAAAGAGAAACAGATTATGGGCAGTATGAAGATACATCAGTGACCTGACATGTGACAACTTTGATTTATTGTAATTGGAAAAATTTGAGTTCTTATGAATCCTGGATGGAAAATGAGTGCTAGGTCAGTGACCAGGTTTCAAAACTTGCCAGTCACACTTGCATCCTATGAGAGAGGGCTTGCCTGAGCAGGAATTGGTTCAAATCGTGTAAGAGAATTTCTGAAAGACATGTAAGTTACTTCTTGCAGCGTGATTCTGGGATTAGCATTTGTATATTGCAAAATCGTTTCTCTAGAGGGTTGGCAGCAGATGCTGCGGAACAAAGTGTCCATAAAGAACGTTGTTTCTTTACCTCCTGTGATTATCTTACTGTCCTAAAAATTAGGCTTTAATTTGTATCCCTTAACTTCTGAAACATAAAGGTTGCTAGCTTTCTCCCTGAATTAATTTTTTTTTTTTTTGCATTAAGTCTTTAGCTTCCATATTTTGGCAATGAGTTCACTGAATTAATAATGCATTAAAAAGCACATCTAGTAGTTCTATAAGGAGCAGAACTAATGAAGCCTTTTCTTGTGACTTCGTTTGTTTACAGCTCGTTAGACACCAAAGCCCCATGTGGACTCTTTGGTATCCAGTAATACAGTGGGGCTCCCTCTGGAGCCTTTTTCTTAGTGAAAGCTATAATAGATTTATTTCCTCTATCTGTCTATTTCCAGGAGGCTTATAAGAACTCGGCATCTCTGAGACCTCTGTTCTTCTGCCAACATTTGTGTGTTTGCACATTAACATGCACACCGTGATGGTGTAAGCACTATTTCTTTGGTATCCTAGTTTTCTTTTTAAAGAGCCTCGCTGTGTGGTTTGGTGGGTTGTTGGTTTGGTTTTTTTTTTATGTATTTCAAAAGCAGTTTGTGCTCCAGTTCATGTATTTGAGTTACAAGTGCAAGAAAATTGAGTTGACTTCCTTTTGAAGGATACTCTTGGTGGTGTGTGCTCTTACTTTTAATCTTAACAATTTCTTCACAGTATCACCAGCTGAGCTCTTTGCTTCATCTTGCTTTCTTTTGGAGCCGGTAAAACCAAAACTACTTATTCAAACAGTGCATAGTGTTGTGTTCTGTTTTCTTTTTCAGATTCTGATAATTTTGACGTTCTCTTGGAAGGGCAAGATTTGTGGGTAGTGGTAATACTTTTTATTAGACTATTTGGTATAGTATGGAAAGTAGGCATTTGGATATGCAAGCCCTTTCTCGGGTCTAAAATAGAAGCCATGGATTTTAAAACTAAGTGTATGTTAGATTTGTTTAGAATTTAGTGAAGTAGGTATCTTTTAGACCATTTCTGAAAGAAAAAATAGTTAATGCTTGTGAGTGTAGTATACCAATAATTC